AAATAATGTATAAGTCGCATAACAATCTAATTCAGTATATGTATACGTAAATTCGACGTAGATGTGTCTGTATGCGTATGTGTGTATGTATGTGTATATATATATATATTTATATTTATATTTATATTTGTTTATTTATTTATTTGTTTGCTTGCTTATTTGTTTATTTATTTATGTCTATATACATATACATATATATATATATATCTGTAAATAATGTATAAGTCGCATAACAATCTAATTCAGTATATGTATACGTAAATTCGACGTAGATGTGTCTGTATGCGTATGTGTGTATGTATGTGTATATATATATATATTTATATTTATATTTATTTATTTATTTATTTATTTATTTAGTTGTTTGCTTGCTTATTTGTTTATTTATTTATGTCTATATACATATACATATATATATGTGTGTGTACATGTGTGTACATGTGTGTTTGTGTGTCTGTGTGTATTTCTTCCGTCCTTCGTGCCTTCCTTACTTCCTTCCTCCCTCCGTTCGTTCTTTCCTTCCTTCTGCCTCCGTTCCTTCCTTCCTTCCTCCCTCCGTTCGTTCTTTCCTTCCTGCCTTCCTCCAGCCTCCCTTCCTCCCTTCCTCCCTTCCTGCCTTCCCTCCCTTGCTCCTTGCTCCGTTGCTCCCTTGCTCCCTTCCTCCCTTCCTCTCTTCTTCAAAGAGGGCCCAAAAAATATAGGTTCCCCTTCCTGCCGCTTGTGACCTCTGCTTCATCCGGGAAGCCAGCACAGGATTCGAGAGTGGCTCCTGTCGATTGGTCTCCACCTCCGGGACACTTACACAGCTGACTTGTGCGGACGAAGGCAGATTACCAAAACTCTGCCTCTGAGGCCGGTTCAGCATCAAGGCGATGAAAAGTCCAGTTGACGTACATGCCTTCAACGACAGCTGTGTTGCAGGACTTGTCCATCAGGAGCTTGCCTGGGCCCGTCGTTGCCACTCACTTTCATTGAGCATCATCCTGAAAGAGTCTTTGCGGCGACTGTGCATTCGCAGGCTAGTGACCACGTTGATGGTGGAACTCCAGGAGGTGTGGCACCGCCCCAGGAGGTTGCAGTGCGACAGGCACGGGTGCACCGGCAGGAAAGGCATCGTAGCTGGTGTGCCACCTCGTGGAACTGATTCCATAAACGCTTATGGCTGGATGGTTGATTGATTGATTGCTTGAATGAATGATTGACTGCTTGATTGAATGACTGGTTGATTGATTGACTGACTGGCTGGCTGACTGGCTGACTGGCTGATGGCTGACTGACTGAGTGACTGAGTGACCGACTGATTGACTGAACCGACTGACCGACCGACGGACTGACTGACTCAGTGAGTCAGCGACTGTGGGCACGAGCACCCTTGCAAAGCAAGGCATTCGTAGCCGCACTGCACTGACTTGGCAGTGCCGGCCTTTGACACAGTAGGACTAGGGACAGCAGAGGCGGCAGTGCACCTCCGCACACAATGACACGAACTTGAGGCTGCACGTGGCTACCAGAGGCATGTCCAGCATCGCCCGGAAATACTTGCGCGTCGAGCCACAGGAACGAATACAAATGCCGGAACTCTGTCTTTTCTGGAATCGGCTGGACGATCTCTGTCGCTTCAAGCCCTTGAAGCAAGTGGCTGTCAGCCAGGCTGGCATTGAACATCTCAGTTCCTCGCTGCTTTGTTCCACATGCTTGCTGCCACATGTGCGTTTCACGCATCCGACCAAGTGCTGGGCCACCTCCCATCACCTGCATAGATCGGAGGAGCAACAACTCTGGCAGGCGCCCTGCTGTCACTTCAGCATATTTCAATACACCAATCTTGGAGCAAGTCGCATCTGCCGCATAAACCAGGCTCACATTTCTGGAAACCAGGTCCGGTGAAGATGTTGTCCACCAGCCGCGCAGATTACAAGGATGATGGGCCTGATGTGACAATCTGAGAAGTGCAAACGCCTCTGAACTGCGAAAAGATTGAAAAGCATGAAACCAGTCACTCTCTTTGCCCAGCTATTCCTGCTTGTTGTCATGGGTCTGCACATCGCTGATCAGCACTAGGTGTGGAGGCTGATGTGCCGCCCACTTGTCCCACAAGAAGGCTGCATCGGCATGACCAAGATCGTGACCGATGTCGCCTGCAGAGAGGACATGTGAAGGTCTGCTTTGGCATCTATGTAAACCCTTCTAAACATCCCAAAGCGCAGCCTTGCCGCTTAAGAGCATGGCCAACAGGAGGGCGCCAATTTCATCGCCAAGTCTAGCCGAGCGCCGCCCTAAGGCTATGATTAGCCGAACGATGCCAGACTGGGAGAGCACAACCTCCAAGAAGGACCCCTGCCTTACTTTGCTGTGAATGCACTGCTGCCCTGACGTATCCTATCTGCACCTGGCAAACATCGAACTGCCAGCGGTCGACCAAGGATCCTACACTTCAGGAGAACATATGCCGCTGCTCGCACTCGGAAGCTCCGAAGGCACAGGCGATGCAGATGATCCACCCTCCGAGTCTTTGAGGGACAGCACTCCCAAATTGTAGGCTGCAAACGCCTGCACTGGATTCAAAGCGCCATTGCGGCGACTTGGTGCTGATGACGCCGGGAATGTCACATTGGGCTTGTCAGATTTGCCAGGGGCTTCTGGCAAAAGCTGCTTGTAGCGTCGAATTGCCTCCGTGTTGCTTGATGACCCTTCTGGAGTCTCCAAGTCATCGGATCCATCCACGAACGCATGAGCAACCAGCAATTTCGCATCCTCTCTCCCCAGATCTGCGGCCTGCACTAGGTGCGGCCAAGCATCTCGCCTGGCAATTGTGACATCGGACGAATTAGGCGAGGCAAACCGGGCCAAGTAATATTTGGCCATCTCAGCATCTGCGTCGTGGTCGGCATCCTGTGCGGCCTTGGTCACCACCATGTCAAGCAGTGGTTTGGCTTTCTGCGTGTCGTTCTCCTGCAGGTGCTCCACAGCAAGCCAGAGAGCTGACTTCCGATCACCCTTCGAAGCTGCCAAAGACCGAAGCTCACTTACGTTGGCAGCTTTGCGGGCCACTGCCGGCAGCTCCTCCGATCGAAAGCCACCGGTTTCCAACATGCTAGAGGCCTTGGCCAGATCAGATGCCGACGACCTCGAGGTATCTGCCAGGATGTGCTCAAGGAAGGCTTTGTCTGCTCTCTGTTGGGAAAGTCCTTGAGAGAGCGGATCGGGGACGGGACCCCATGACCCAGATTGAATCTCGTCAATAGTTGAGGCTGCCAGATTTCCTAGAGAATTGACCAAGGTCTCGTCGCAGCTGGCTTTGTCCACAGTCTTCGGCATTCGCGACAGGAGGGAAGATGCTTGATTGGGGCCAGGTGCCGTCAACTTGGTCAAGTTAATCATGCGTGTGCGATTCAAGTATGCAACGGCAAGCATGCCAAGTGGGTCGCCTCCAGCATAAGAAAGGGCATACGCGGCTGCAGAAGGGTCCGGTGGGCCAATGTCACGTGGCAACCGTGCGGCGTCTGCTGTTGCAGGCCCTTGTGCAAGAACATCTCCAAGGATGAGCAGCCTTGGGTCACCAGTTCCATCTTGAGCCAGGTGCGCAGCTCCAACAAGTGGAGGGTATCCCACACCGAGGAGGAGCCCCAGAAGGGCGTAGCACCGGGCACAGGGAGGTGCATGATGGACTCCCTCACGTGCAATTCTAATTGCAGTGTTTACATCTCGCTGCACCAACGGCTGCGCTGTAGACGGCAGGCCGAAGAGGTACAACCAGGCAAGAACCCCAGACACATCCTTGGAGGCCACATAAGAGACCATCGAAGTCGCTCAGTACAACACTCCGAAACATCTAGAAAAAACATCACTGCTTCTGAGCTGCAGGGTGAGGATGTTCGGAGTGCAGAGTCGTCAGAGCTCGGCTCCAGTAGCTGGCCTTCACAACAAAGACTGCAACAGAACGAGCGAACACTGGACAAAGCAGGTGCGACTGGTCCTCGTCCTGGGCTTCGGCTGGCCGTTGCACCAACTCTGTGAGACGCTGCCAGACGGCAGCAGCCGCAGCAGATCCCGAGCTCCCTGAGAATATGCGCATGTCGAGATCGCGATTGCGAAGCACATCGGTTATCGAGAAACTCGGGCCTGCATCCGCTGCATCAGGATGATGCAAGGTCACAAAAGCAAGAAAGAGGATTCCTGAAGAAGTACAATCGGTCGTTTTTGCAGCGTCACAGGAAAGTAGCCTCATTGCACGGAACGAAAGGCACTTTGGACCCACCCCTCATGACCACATCACTGACCTGAGCTACATGTCCTGCCCTTCCTCTTGCAGCCGGTCAGCTGCGAGTGGTGTTCGCCATCGGTCGAGCATGGATTCCACACACGAGGCAGTCGCAGTTCGTTTAAGCTGACGAATGTTCAGCGACTGTGCATTGCATCTCAATGCCATGCAGCGAGTCTCCCAGCGCTGAGCCTCAAACGCCCCAAACAGTGTACTCGCCTCTGCTCCGTTGACCACACACGTCGCGAGGTGCAATCGCAGCACGCCTGATTTTATTCCGCAAGCTTCGCTTCTTTGGCTTCTTGCCGGTACCTGAGCAGGCATGCAGGACAAGCACACGGCCTCTGGAGCTGAACATGTTTCGTGCGCTGGCTAGGCCTCAAGAAAAGATTGGCATGCGCCAGGCTTTTGAGGTATGTGACCTGTGCATTCACACTCTGCGACAAGCACGGCTATGCGCAACATCAATTGCCCCAAGCTTGAGGCAGCGACCTCGCCAAAGGGCGATCTTCTCAGTCCCTCGATGCCCATGCGCACAGAGCATCCACCTGACACTGCATTTTACGGCATTGCCCGGACTCAAAGCCAGTGACCTGTCTTCCCTGCCCTGCCTGGCTCTTCCCCTGCGATGCCAGAGGCAGGACGCTCACAAGTCACCTACAGCCGAAGGGTGCGAAAAGACATGAACACCTGGCATTTCGAATCTCACAAACTATCACACCGTCCTGAGCCGCCGACTCCAGCGCAAGCCGCACCCAGATCTGTGCAAGCATGCTGCGCCTGCAACTCACACAGGCCACAGACAAACTCAACCGAACTTGCAATAACTGCTTGAACCCAAGAAACTGACAAGCCCGTAAACCGCGACGCTCGATAGGCACAGAGCCAGCAGCAACACTGCCGCTTTTGGTGCCAAAGGCATGTTTTAGGAAAGCTTCTTGCTGGCCGTAAGATAAACTTGTTCAGACACGGCACAGTCATACAATAATCTAGCTCTTTCTATTAGGGCCCAAAAAAAAATCAACAACTTTTGAACTAGCTCAAACAGCACGGATTGTTCTAGATTCTAGAAGCTCTAAGGCCTTACCATCTATTCAAGGGCGCCGTCAGATAAGACTCTTGAGAAATGGTATAGGCCCAACGGTACTGGAATTGTGTCATAATGCGATGAAGGATGTTCCTAGAAGCTTCAAGGCCTTACCTTCTGTAGCGGCACCGAGGTCTAAGCAACGCAAACCTGCAACATGACTCAGCCCCAAAAAAAGGTCGGTGTCAAACGCCCCCGTGCCGTGGCCAGAGCACGATTTTGCAGCTTTTCTTCTTCAAGCTATCCCTTGCTAAAGAACTCTTCGCAAAAAAAGCCCTCGAAAACACAAACTGCTTGCAGTGCAGATTCCGTGCAAAACGCATCCGGGCTGTGGCAAGAGCACGATTTTCAAGCCAAAAAGATCTTGAAACTTTCAATTTCAAGACCCACCGACTAACAAACACTCAAAATTCTAACAAACGCCTCGCGAAAATGCATGTTCATCGAAAAGTTTGCGTGAGCTTCTGCTTCTTTTCGCACCTGCGAAAGCACATGACCCAAACAAAACGTGCGTTTCGCTCAAATTTTGGCCATGCCGCCGTCTTGCACTAACCAGAAAATGTCTCCAAGCGCACGGCCCCGTATGGGCGCCGTCACCATGTTTTAGCACTCGCGCTCGACCAAGTCAGACGAGGTTTGTGACAACACCCGAAGTTTCCAGACTAATCACGAGCCGACCCCAAGCTCCTTTTGAGCCCAGGAGCTGAGGAGCTTCATGTTTCAAACACAAAGCAAGACATGGGCAGACATCCACAGTGCACAATCACTGTGAGCTTCCACGACAGCTGTTGCACAGCTCTACGTGTTTGACAGCTGAGCTTGCACCGCACTGCTGTCACCACCACTGCCAGCATTGCCCCAGGTCACAACAGACCCATCGCCCAGAATGGCAGCAAAAGCGTTGTTGGTAGCTTGGATCTGCTGCACGTCCTTCAGCTGATCCTGCACAGCACTGCTGTCGCCACCACTGTCAGCACTGCCCCATGTCACGACAGACCCATCGCCCAAAATGGCAGCAAAAGCCATGCCGGTAGCTTGGATCAACTGCACATCCTTCAGCTGAGCTTGCACAGAACTACTGTCGCCACCAAGTCCAGAACTGCCCCATGTCACAACAGATCCATCTCCAAGCACTGCAGCAAAAGCATCGATAGTAGCTTGAATCTGTTGCACGTCCTTCAGCTTATCTTGCACTTGACTGCTGTTGCCACCACCGTCGGCATCGCCCCAAGTCACAACAGACCCATCGCCCAAAATGGCCGCGAAAGCTATTTCAGTAGCCCGGATCTGCTGCACGTCCTGTAGCTGACCTTGCACAGCACTGCTGTCGCCACCAGCGCCAGCATCGCCCCAGGTCACAACAGACCCATCCCCCAGAATGGCGGCAAAAGCATACTGAGATGCTTGAATTTGCTGAACGCATTTGAGCTGATGTTCCACCTCACAGCTGTCACCGGAATCATCGCCCCAGGTGACGACAGACCCATCGCCCAGAATGGCAGCAAAAGCAAAGCCAGTAGCTTGAATCTGTTGGACGCCCACCAGCTGATCCTGCACAGCTCTGCTGTCGCCACCAGCGGTCAGAACTGCCCCAGGTCACCACAGACCCATCGCCCAGAATGGCAGCAAAAGCATTCATGGTAGCTTTGATCTGCTGCACATCCTTCAGCTGACCTTGTACGTGACTGCTGTTGCCACCACCGTCAGCATCGCCCCAGGTCACAACAGAGCCGTCGCCCAGAATGGCAGCAAAAGCAGAATCGTGGCCGCGAACCTGAAAGCTGCTGATCTTCAAGGTCAGCGTATCGCCGCTCTGCAAGCCAGATTCCTCAAGCGTAGTGGACCCGTCCAGAACACCTCCGGAGGAGTCCAAGAGTTTGGCTGTGCCTGTGCCGACTGCCAGAGCCTTCTGTGCTCTGCTACGCAATGCTTTTACGGACTCGTCCGGTTCTGCTTCCAGTGAAACTGTCCTGCCACTTAGCAGGCTCACCTGAATCAGGAGGGCCATGGTGCTCACACGGGCAACCCTCCACTGCTACAAAGAACCCTTTGGTACCATTGTGTGCCTGATGTGTGGTACCTGCAGTGACGTGTTTACTGTTTGGAATCAAGCATCGGGTGGCTCTGTTCTGAGTCCTCAGCCTGCCACGCAATCGATTTCTCCACATGAAAGGCATGGCAAAGCCAAACTAGTAGAACCAGTAGGCTGACATCATCGACCCGAGCCGAGCTCTGAAATTAGCCAAGGCCTCTAACAAGTCCCTCCCGCCCGAGCCAGCTCAGCCGCTGAAGCCCAGAAGGGACAGTTCGCGGAGCGCGGCCTCTACTTGCCCGCATGGCCGCGTCTGTACTGGTTCACTACACGTGATAGGGGGACTGCACTTCTTGCTCAGATCCCATTGCAGACCCGGAGGCCGAACCCCGGCTCCCTTGAGGCCGAGCTTGGTAGCCAAGCAAGAGGCACAAACCCGTGTCCAACACCCAGCACATCGAATCGCAACTGCCGTGTCGGTAAAAGCTGCCCGTCCTGCCTCGAGCAGGCCCGATGTATGCTGGTCACGACCAGCAAAACCCGCCAAATACATTCCGGGCCTTAAGCCAAAACTCTGCAACCACGCGCAAAACAAAGCACCGTTGAGGTTGAAGCATGCGAGGCCACAATCCAACCGCCCCCAAATGCAATTGCACCAACACCTGCCAGGACAGCCCTTCAAGCTTTCTTGGCTCTTTGGCAGTCGCAGGGGGTCCTCCAGATCTGGATCACCATCTCGACCACAGAAAAAGTTGCTCCTGGCAGCAAGACCAAGCAAAGCATGGGACACAGTTCGGCATGTGGTCCATGCTTCTGTGTCCGCACCACACCTATGCCGACGACATGCCAGCAACGCCACATCGGAATTTCAAAAGCATTGCTCCAAAATGGACCGGAAACCTGTCTGTAGGTAGTGAGACTGGCCTGGTCATCCCATGCTGCATCAACATGTGCTTGTCTGAAGCCGCGACCGGGAAGAGATGCTCGGACGTGATCAAAAAGCAGAAGTATTTGGCGCGAAACAGATCCTGCAGAAGAGTGGGTGCCGGGCATGGTGCGGTGCAAGCATAGTTGAATCGCTCCTCGATCACATGAGGCAGCTTATCCTTCCAGACATTGGACGCATATTCGAAGCCTTCACGACTGAAGGCTGCCGTTCTCTACGGAATCATGCCCCACAAGTCCATGAAAAAGCACTGGCATGCCGCACCCGTCGATTTCTCGGCACCACGCTCACGAACTTGACTGGCGGATCCCCCGCCGCCAAGGACCTGCAGCTTCAGAGCGCCAGCAGAAGGAACAACTGTAAATAGTAAACGTCGTACAGCAGAGCCTTGCCTGAGAACTGCTGGCTCCGACCCTTCGATGTCCAGTTTGAGCAAATAAATTTTGTCAGCATCGCGCCCCAGGCCTTTGACGAAACCCATGTTGCTTTCAGCTGCTTCGTGTACGGGGAAGAGAAGCCTACCAGCCTGGAAAAGCGGCCTTTGCTTCAGCTACCTTGCGACACATGCGGCCAAGGCCATGTTACTGCGAACAGGTGTGACCTATGCCGAGGATGCAGCAACACGCGAAAGTGTGATGACCTAGGCCGGTAACTTGGCTTGCAAGAGCCAGCAAAAGGCTTTGCAGTCACTGTGTCTGGCGTCATAGGCATACTTGCCTCTACAGGCTGCTTGTCACGATGATCCCCATCCTTCCATAGCAGCCTCTGCAAACTGCAAGTGCCGCCGTCGAGTACACAATGAGAAAATCGGGTCGCTGGGCAGCGCACGTAGCAATCTCATCGATCGAAAAGTCTTTGCTAACCTTACGACGTGGATCCCGAACTGTGACAGTGCACGAGAAAAACAATCGAGGCATCAGCCGCCAATTGCGCATGGCCGGCCACGTCACTTAAAGCGGCCTCCGGGAAGCATGCGTGCCACCGTTTCCGCATCGCAAGAAGCTCAACAGAGCTCAACAGACTTGCTTTCTATGTCTCATTTTCTTCCACCCAGCCTCGAGGGGCAGGAAACCCTCCTCCTGTAAGCGTGTTGCAACCGCAAGCCAACTGCAGGTTCGGTCTGTCACGCGTCTCAAACTTTGATAGGCTCTGGCATTCCAGCTGTGTTCTACAGCATGCTGTAGCAGCCTGGGCTACCAAATGCTGCATGATGCCGCAAGCCGCGTTCCCCATGCTTTGGCCACCGTCCGGAGCTAGTTGGTGCTGACTTGTTTGCATCAACGACTGCAGACCTAGCGTCATATCCTATTGGCATCCTGCAGTCATTACCAATCGCAACCTCAGCATCGAGCAGCTTGAAGTTTGACGCAGATGGCTCCACCTGCATAGCTTGTACACTCGTCCGACATTCCGTTCAGGCGTTTCGCAGCTTCTGGGGCGCATGTGTCAGCTGCAGACAGGAACAGCAAAACAAGTTCCCTGGTCGCATTACATATTCCTCTGTGTGGAGACCGGTTGCATGACCATTTCCATTATGTGCTCATGTTCAGGATGTACTGCATGCTGCACGCTGTCATGGCTAATTCTACTGGGACGGAATTGATCAATAAACGCAACCAAGGCACAGCTACCACAACCACCTCAACTTTCTGACTGCTGCGATGTTCCTAATAATTCGTAACATATACACAACTATCACGAATGCATGCCACCAGCTCGCTGGTTCACACGATGAAGCTGAATAAGGCAGTGTGGCTGTTGGTGTTTCCAAGCCCCCCGCAGCCTCGACAGAAAAGCAACTGCATGGGGGAAAAATCTAATTGCAGGGCCTTTGCTGAGTGCCCGTGACCGGCCTCCGACGCGTCCGCGCCGGCACAAACAACGCATGATGCATGGCTGTCGTTCCTGGCAGCTGCGCAAAGGTTTTGTTGTACACGTTTACGAATGCTAGAATCTAGAATGCACTTGCACCCCATACCTATGATCCTACGACAAACGCGAGACGTCTCGTTTTCCGTCTTTTCCTGGACACTCGCCGGCCAAAGGCATCGCCGAAGCTGGCAATCCATCTGGCCGTTGCCTCAGCACGTATTCGCATTGGATCGCACTGGCATCTCGCGAAAGAGTTCACGACATGCGATGCTGTCGCGGTCGTCTGAGGCCTAGAAGGGCCGAGCTCCAAGCTCTGCCGACATTCGCTCCTCCATCCTCGTATACTCCGGATCCACTCACACTTCCAACGGCTGCTGAATTCTTGTTTCCAAGCGCGGGTCCACGAGCAGGCCGGGAGGGATGCCACCATTACGCTGCCGCGCAGCCTATGCAGCGAAAAAACACATCTGAGAAAGCCACGTCGCGGCCGCCTGCCTGGTAGAGCCAATGAATCGATGGAAGCAGCACGTCGATGTCCGCACATCCAAAGATATTGCTGGACACTTCGAAGCGCGCCTGTGCGAATCTAGAAAGCCTTCCTGTGAACTCCAGCAAAACACCGCACCTGCCGGGTGGGCTCTGAAAGCAAGTAGCTGCACTGTTCGCAGCCGGCCGATTCCAGAAATTCAGCAAAGACCTGGCAGTTGCGTACGAGGCCGTACTGTTGTGACTCGCTGTTCGCATTTCTCAATGGCGCAATCTCACACAAGAGACCTCCGTCCCCCAAATCTGCCACGAGCTTTGCGCTGCCACCTACAAACCAAGACACTCGCGCTGGCAAACTTGCCTCAGCTAGCTGCAGCTAGGCTTCCCACCGCCTGTAGCAGTGTTGCGCTGGCCTCAGAAAGCCGGCATTACCCTGTAAGACTTATGAGGCCCACCGTAGTCGCTGACCGTCAGCCACCAGGCCATCAGGCCCTGTTTGTTTCGCAAGAGCGGACTCCGCAGCCAACGAGACATGCAAACTGCTGCCTGGGTTCCGCTCAACCCAGGTCGAAAGTCACCATCAGCATTCTAGCTCTTTCCGACCAAACCCTTGCAAGTTCCAGAGTTGTAGAAGTGTAGAATAGCATGTGGGCTGTTTCTTCGACTCACACACTCGCTCAAAGCAGGCATTTCTTCACGACGTCCGAGCTGTTGCTTTAATTCATGCTGCAAAATGTCACCTCGCCTGTTCTGCACATGTTGTCTCTTCGGGCACTTTTCTTGACATATCGACTCCCGGCCCACGTATTGTCGTCATTAACAACAGTGTCGTCCATCCATGTGTTGTGGAATTAAAGAGGGCGGCAAAGGCACAAGTTATCGATCCAAGTCTCATGAAACCGAACATGAAAGAGTCCCTATCTTGTCTTGCTTGCTGCAATGCATTCATCTGCTTCGCAGCCAGCTCGCGCACAACGCCGCACAAACGACACACATGCGCAAGCAATCCTTGCAGCCTCTGGAGACACCGAGTTACTGCCCTCAGACACAAAGCACTTTCCCATGCTGCTTTCGCACCGGGATCGTGACAGCAACTTTGGCATGCCGACACTGGGGACTGCGCCTGCTCAGCATGACGCAAGAAAATCCAACGCTACAAATCGGATGAGCTTTAGGACTATGCTGAGCCGGAGCAAGTTTAACTTGTTCCGGGCAGCGAAGGTGTAGTACACACTCGACCGTCATGTGAAGTTCGCTACTCTGTTCGCCGAACAACGAATGGTTTCAAGTCAAGAACTCGGGGAGTGGTAGATGTGGTAGCCGAAGAACCTCTACACAGCAAAACTGGACATGAGTTGAATTTAAATGCACCTTCCTGCCACTGTACACTGGGCAGTTCAATATGCTTGGAATGCAGTCTTGCCTAGTTCTTCCGAGTCAGCCGTCGACTTGGTTTCCTCGAAACGCCTGCCAACACTGCTTCTCTCGATGACTGCTGCCTGCCTATGGAAAATAGCTTGACAGCTGCATGGTCAGGGCTTCGCCGGGGCCGCCACCGCGCGGAGGCTAGTGCTGCTGCCATGTCATCAGGCGTTGCACACAGCAGGTCGCAGTGGGAGAGGAAACGGCCTTCAGCAGGTGCAAGGCCCATGTACTTCATGCACATAGCCAGGGTGCCGGCAGCTTATTGGCTGGTTTCGCTGCACGGTTCGCAGGACGAAGTTCTCACCCACCTGCTGTAGAAAGCAAACATTCCCCAACAGCCATCGACGTCACACTGCAATGGCTCAAAACCGTAAGCGATACCTTCTCCGCGAGGATGGCACGCACATCGTCTGCCTGGGGCAAACGCGAGCACCGTACCGTGCAGCATTTGGAGCTTCCCTTTGCTGCACACCCGGCATTTAAGAGAAATGGGCAGCAAAGGCAAGGGAGGGGCAAGGCATCCTTCCCTACGTGGTCCTTTTTCAGAGCACCACGCGGTCCACAGGAAGGCGAGGCAGCCTCTGCGTGCTCGCTCAGGGAGAATGGCATAGACGGCTGGTTCGCAAAATGGACCTCGGCTGGTAAGCACGCCACAAGCCAGTGGACACTGTAACAGCTGCAGGCTGAGAAAAGGGCCGTGACACGTGGAAAAAGAAAGCCCAGGACGACGGGACCTTGGGCAGCACCGTGGACCATGACAGCAGCATGCATGTAGCAGAACAGTACGTGTTGCGATGCTTTCTGAAGTTAAGAACAAACAAGTCAGCAACAGCCGTTAAGAAGGCCGCAAGCCAGCAGCCGTAACCTCAGGCTGTCTGCAATCAAAAAACATACACTCTGACCGCCACATCTTGCTTTGAACCGGCGCAGTCAAGGGACGCCTCACAACCTCCAATCTCAGTCGTCCGTTCGGCCAGCGGGGAAGGATCCTCCCGATTTCAAGCAGCAAGCAGCCGTTACCCACAAGCATGTCAGACGAACACAACCTTCAGGGTCTTCAGAACATCCTCGGAAGGGTTTCGAATCAACGGCAGCGGCCTTGGCCTGCCAACTGTACCCTCGGCGAGCACAACCTGAGCCGGGCTTTGCCAAGCCAACTAGACTTTCTTGGCCTTGAAATCGCCAGGAAGCTGAGGAAGGGGCTCACTCTGAAGGAGGCAACAGGGCACATGCCACCCTCATGCCTGGGAAGACCGACTTCCAAGCCTACATCGAGCCCACATCGACGGCCCTTCTTCTCGCAGCAGCCAAGCAGTGCCATGCGTCGTCCGGGTCTTCTGGCTGATTAAAAGCCGAAAGCCGCGTTGGCTTCATGGGATCATCGGGCCACTGCCTTGGTCCTCGCTGCGCTTTGACGGCAGCTGTGCTGCGGAGCTTCGCTTCGCGGCATGCCATGAATATTCATGGCAAATTCTCACAGCCGGACGCTTGGGAGCTACACTGAGTTTCAGCGCCACATACGGCACAGCGACATCCTCTCTTCGGGGAGCACCATTGCCGAGGTCGGACAGCCTCTCAGATAGAAAAGCCTGGGCCAAGCTTGTCCACGAGTGCCTGGCCAGTCTGGATTCCACACATTCCACAACATCTCCTCGCATCTGTTCTCGAGCTGCCTTCGTGTAGTCTTGCAAGTCTGGATTGCTGCTATCCTGACGACGGCATGACGAAAAGCTGAGGAGCGCCAAACAGCTGCCTTCATGTAAGCACAGACACAGCCGGGTCCCTGAAGTCACGGAGTTTTGCTTTCTCCTTCGCTCCCAGTGCTCGTGTCACCTGGTTTGCCAAGTAGTGAGCGACCTCTGAAATTGATGCTCGTGCGCAATCTACACGAACAAACGAGCCGGGCACTGCAGCAGCTTGCGTCTCTGCAAGCGATGTCAAGGCCAGGACGACAAGTGACATGCCGTTGGCAGTGACCTCACTATGGCATCTGGCCTCCATGAAAACATGTCATGTGCATGCCAGGCGCTGAATGTTAGTATGCGAATCAGAACGCAAGGCCGCAACTGTGCGACCAGGAGGGCTACTAGTGTTGGGGTTATCTCACATCAGCTGGTGAGAATGCACGTTAATGCCGGCAAGGAAAAACACGCATCAGAATTAGCGAAACCATGCGAAACCCAATGTCTGTGGCTTCAAGAAGCACGCAGCAGATAGGCCACAGTGCCGGATTTGCTGCGCACGCTGAAGTATATACTAACTCTTTTGTTCCACTCACACTCGGACAAGCTGAATCTTTGACTGCTTCCATCAAACAAAAGCATGCCTGCCCACACGGATGCATGCAGACACATTCATCATGCTTTATACACCACGCAGCGGCATTTCTCGACCATGGCTCAGATGTTCAAACTTGACAAGCCAATCACCCATCAGCAGGTGCACGAAGTAAACACGTTGCAGGCACTTCCGGAAACACGAGTGCGTGCGCAGATGCGGCGGTGTCTCACAACAGAAACCTAAGGCTTGAAAAGGTGATGCACCCTTTATGACGATGCGCAAAACACCCAGGCATGTTGCGACATAACACGTGTCTATACATGTCTGCAGACATGCGAGCATGATGCATGCACTCGCATGTATGTGCGCACATATGTGCTTGCGTGCCATGTTCATGTTCCTTTCTGGGAAATCACGTGCTACAAAGACAGTGGGGGGGAGGTGGAGTGGGAGTGTCGACAGGTTGCCCGGATATGCTGCCCTCCCTCGGGCTCGAATCGATCCTTTCCTTACCGGTTCACCAAACAGGCAGCTACAACAAGGAGGTTCTGTCACGACTCGATCAGCCACCTTGCGTTTTGCACTATACGACATAGGATGCTTTCAGACGTACAAACGGCGACCTGTCGTTGTCAGCACATGAACTTCTGCGCAGTTGCGCAGCAATGAATCAAACGGAAATGGAATTCGCTGTAAAATAAAACTTTCTCGACTGCTGCAGACTGCCACATCGTCTTGTTCTGGCGTAAGTGCAAGACCTTGGGCAGCAAGGCTGCCAAAGAAGTTGCTGCTCCCTGACCACGAATTCCAGCTACGAGTGCAACATCAGCAGCCGCCACGATGGAATCACATACCACAAACGAGCCTGTGCAACTGCCGTTTCCTGCGCTGCAGGCCCTGATCCTCAAGGCACCGCTCGCTGTAAGAAACATGCCCTGGCCCTGGCAGCTGCTTCTCAAAGTCCAAGAATGTGCTGAGCCGCTGGCTGATTATGTTTGCCAGAGCACCTGCGGCCCACTCCGCTGCCTGCGTAGGTGAGTAACGCTTATTATATGCAATTCGGGGCTGTTGCATACCACCGAGCTGCTAAACAGAGCGGCATAACTTGTAATTGAGATCCCGACTTGAATGGCATCGGCCTTCAAAAGTTCTGCTAAATCCTTGACCTCCCAGAAACGAAGCCGTGCCGGCATGTGCTACATTCTGCCGTCTCTCTGAGGTGCACGCCGCCGGCGTCACCTTCTCAGCGCTGTCAGGTGAACCTGCTGTCATGTTCATCAAAGCACCCGCTGCGTACCTCCAAGCAGTCTCATGTCACATCCTCTTACCATGCCAGAGGCGCCGCATGCGATATTGAAGCTTAAACAAGCAATCGGTCACTCTTTGGCCATCGCGTCTCCAAGCCTGCCCCCAAGTGCGCTGCTTGTAAAACTGAAAGGACAGGGCAAACTGCATCGAGGTGCTACAAGTATGAGGTATGAGAATGTATGAGATGCTTTGGGACATCAGCCTGCTTGCATGAGCTCACACTGTCCCTGCCTCAGCATGTCCATCAGGTACTCCAGGGTTCCAGCTTTTGCCAACTCCGCCTTCACTTCCGGCCATCTCCAGGACAAGTTCCTGGAGAGATTCCGATCAGGACGAGGGGACCGGGTGGGGAGGCGAATCTCAGCCGGGCCCCACGCATGATGCCCAAGGCAGCCTCTCCAATCATGTCCTGGCAACAGGACCAAGCTACAGCTTGCAGGGCCATGCGGCATTGGTAAAGCAGGCTGAGGACTCCGAAATCTGCACAGATCCACGCCTTAAGAAGTGCAATAAGTGGAGGACCAGCTTTTGCTTGCCAGACTGCATCACATGGTCCATCCTGAGGCAACCGGAAGATGAAAAATGTCACTGTTACGTAGTGGAAGACAAGCTGTGCAACAGCCTGTCCTCCGCAGCCAGCATCGCAAGCGCATGAGCAGCCTGACGCTTGGCGTCTTCGGAGAGACCAGCTTCTTGGATCAATGCCACGAGGGACGGGATCATCTCACTCGCCTGACAGGACTTCCGAACCGCTGCAGGGCCAGCAGCTTCCAAGCGTAGTGGCCATGCAGCATGCAGCTTTGTATGAGCTAGCAAAACCTGGCTTTGGTACACAGTGAGACGGTGAGACGTGGGCGCCTGCTGGAAGCCCTGATGCACGTTTGCGCTGTGGTCGTTGAAGAGATTCGCCAGCGCACCGGCAGCCCGTTCCTGGACAGAAACAAAAAGCAGATAAAAGGCCTGGGATGCAGACCGGCAAACTTTCAAAGACGTTCCAACCCATGTGCAAAGGCGTACCTGCAAAGGCATGCGGGACCACCACCCCAAGCCGTGTTCACATGTGCTGCGCAAATCTGAGAGATGGCTGACTGCATACCTTCAGATAGGGCCATGCAGGCTAGCCAGAACTTAGCCAACATGCCTGTCGGCTGGAAGGTGCGAAGGGTGCCAGCCCGCAAGGTACAGGCGGGCCATAGCAAATCGCACAGGGTTCGTGTCAAGCACGCGGCTTCGAAGCCATGTGGCCCGTGCACACCCCGTGTGCAGCTCGCAGAAGCACAGCCGGAGGCAATGCAAGCTGTGAGCCTGCTGCAGCCTTCTCTTAGTGAAGCCCATCTTCGTCAGAAATCTAACTTTGGCAAGATCCGAAGTCCAGGCCCAAAGTTTACTGGTGGGAACAGAAGGAAGATGCGACGCCGGCATGCGGCATGACGATTGATTCATATTTACGCTTTGCATTGCATGAGTGGTTCGAGACAACTGTTCTGCACGGAGTCCTTCAAGATTTCATCGTCGTCTTTTAAAGCCTTCGCCAGCGGCTTCAGCGCGCCAGCTTCCACGATTCGCTCCTGATGCTGCGCTGCACGACACGCTGCAGGTTCAGCGAATGTGGCAGACCTTGATCTTGCCATGTGGGGCCAGGTTCATGAGAAGGGCGGCGGCCTCGCACGGGAAGTTAACTTCGGCGCTGTGTTTGCAACCAGCAAGAGGCCCCCACACTTCGCCGTACGTCAATGTCAGGATCACTGAGTAGTGAGACCGTTTTGCGGGTCACCTGTGCCTGGCTCACATGCAGGTGTCGAAAGATCTTCCGCCAAATGCCTGGACAAGGCCCAGTTCCAGCCACTCACCTACCACTCACTGCCTTGTAGATCTGGATTTGGCGATCTGCGCTCCCACTCGCCAAGTTCGCCAAAGCTCCCAGGGCCTCTTCCACTGCATGGCAGGAAGTTCACAGAAATCCGCAGCTCCGCTCTCGCTCCTCCGAGTGGCCCGAAGATCGGGACAACAAACCGGCAAGGACAGGGATGGCGCTGAGCTTCGCGGCCGCAGTGGCCACCTCCATCTCCTCTTTCCGCGAGAACCACATGCCGCAGTCTGGGACGGAATTGGGCTACAGAGGCAAACAGCTACCTGCAAACACCTGTCCCCACGCATGAGGTTCATCAGCGCCCCTGCGGCATACTCCCGCGCCAGGTCTGGACCATCCTCGACGGGTCAAAGAACATACTTCCAGTCTTGCTCTACACATAGCTCAACAACTTACACCTGCCTTGACCAAGTTGATCAACGGGCCAATCGCGTCGTTTGACACAATCTCCTGTCGCACACGAGCCGGTGATAGGCAGTGTCAGAGATAGTCAAGAGATCCAGGCCTTGGCATACTCAGTACAATCGCTTGCGAGGTTCAGCAGGGCACCAGCAGCTTGAGTACTTACCTGCAAACAGACATGAGGCTTATGCTCCTTCATCGTCGCTTGGAACATGACGCTGCCTCCGGCTCATAGCTGGGCTGAAGAAGCTCGCACAGCTTTGGGATGGCATTGCATTTGCTAATCGCCTGCACCAATGCTCCGTCGTTAGTGCTTCAAATGCACAGAAAGAGAGCTGCTAAGGCTCTAGCAGCGCGAGCTTCTGTTGACATCGTGATGTGCATCAAGGCACCTGTGGCAACTACCCTGTCTGAACCTCCCATGTCCGAGACTACCAGACCACCCGACAACAGACCCACCAGCAGCAGAAGCTACGCCACCAGCAAACAAAAACTCGCTGACAAACACGACAACTGTAACTAGCAATACCTGATAGGGCCACCGGCCACCAGCTATGACTCTTCCCAGGCTCTGCCTGCCGCATTTTCTTGTGCGATGTCGGAAGTGTTCTTCAGGAGCTCTGCAAGCTTTGGCACTGCACCCATGCGGGCGATTGCATCCTGAGCACGCGACAGGATATGTATAGCCTTCATGACCACTTACCGATAATTAAGAAGATATGCTGCGGCTGTAGGTGACTGCAGGAATCCCAGATCAATGTAAGGAGCCGGCGCTGTTCTTCTCGTGGCCAACTGTGAGGTTCCAGATGGCGTAGGCCGCTTCCTGCGCCGGTGTGGCCTGGGCGAATTCTCCGGTGATCGACTGCCAAGAGCTCGGTCTTCACAAGGGAAGCTGCGCCACTGGAGAGCAAGTCCACCAGCTTCCCGAAAATGCCCGCCTGCATGCGAGAGGCAAGTCTAAAAAGTGGGTGGTCTGCTTGGATGGGAAAAATTCCATGAGGTGCAGAACAGTGTGCGCCGACAACTGTGTGCGAATGGAACCAGGACGCCCCGTGTTCGAGCGCATGCATGCAATGCATGCATAGACGGGACGGCATCCTGAGTCCTTACCTTGGGACTGATAGCTGCTGCTCGGCATCACCGGGCATGTGGCACAATGCGAAACCGCGAATGGCTGCGAGCGTCTCGTCAGCAATGGAGGCCTTCTGTTTCTGTCTGACCCCTCTTTTACGGTCTTGTACGTGCCCAAAGTATCAACAATAATGCCGTTTGGTGCGCGCTGCTTGCAACTCCCACTTCATCTCTTTTCGTGCTCGCGTCCTTGAGGAGACGTTTATCCGCGTGTAACATGTCGGACAAGACCCTGCGTCACCGGTAAGCGATGCTTCACTGCAAGGACACTAGGAAGCCGCAGCAGGTGCAACGAAAACACATGCACCCCGAAATCGCGAAGCTGAAGTGCACCTCCGCAAGTTTGTCTTGATTTTCGGGGCTCTCGTGACCTGGGCTCGACATGCGTACAGAGACATCTGGCTGCTGCATTGCCATACCACAACCTCCGGACCCGAGAGTACCCAGACTCACTTTGATCCGCAAACCGCAAAGCCGTGGACACAGGTTGCCAAGGACAGCTGCAGACATCTCCTGTCGGCAGCCAAAACAGGCCCTGTGCAAATCTGTGCATGGCAAGTAGCTGCTGTGCCTGGAGCGCTGAGTTTGAGCTTGACAATAACTCCCGTAGGCTTGGCACTGCTCCGCCAGCGATCATCTGGCACGGCATTGAGATGTGCTTGGGCTACGCATGGCTACAAAGGGCACATCGCTGGAGCCTCGGTGCCGATGTCTGAGCCAGGCTGGGAGACCCCGGCATCGGTCAGCATCAGCATCAGCTTCAGGGCGGCTTCCTGATGATCCGAAGTTCCAACAACTCCGGAGAATGCAAGGCACGCTGGCACAGCCTGCGTTTTGCTGTCCGACAACATCTTTGACAAGGGCGTGGCCTCAGTCATGGAAATCTCAGGCCAGATGCGACAAACGCCGGCCCAAGGCTCGCACCAGTCCCTCGTTTGCAACTTGAATGCACAGCCTGGGATGATGCCCAGGCTCACCCTTTCCAAACGTACTGAATGAAACACGACGGCTTGCAATTTGCAAATAGTTTGTGGGCATTTTATTTATACTCTGCACAAAGGGTTAGCAACTGAAGTCTGGCACTTGGCGCTCCGAACACTGACAACTAGCCACTCTTTTGCTATGAACTCAAGGCGCCTGCGGTACGCAAAGTCTTTCAAGTACATCCTAGCACTGACACTATACACGCTGCTACT